GTAGGGCCAGGGTAACACAACTCGAGCTGCTATCTGGGGAAAAGACGGGATTTGGAGCGAGCCGAGAGAAGCGGGGTTTATTCAGGAAGTAGAAGCACACCTGGTGAGTTAAACACAGGAGCTGAAGGGGCATTACATACAACTGTTTCAGCGAGCAATGTGTTATAGGGGTTGTTAGTGCCGTGTGGTCGAAGAAGAGGGTTTGTTAGTAGGTAATTGCCAGTCATTCCTAAAGCAAAAGAAACAGAAAAAAATGTCAGTTCTTTAATTTTAGGCTGACAGTTTCAATAAAGAGTATTTTTTTTATTCATCACGAATACGTGCAGGACTTGTCAAATGTAATGCAGCTGAAAATTTCTGAGTGCATCGGAGCTACGGATTTGAAAAGGGAGCAGGGAAGCACAGTTGGGTTCCCGTAACTCACCGGTGCCGTCCAAATCCCCCAAGTAAACATCTGGTGAGAGTGACATTTGCTGGTGTACACACCACCACCGGTACCCAAGAACAGCAGTTAAACTTTGGACCGAGGCCCTACATCGAGCTATTAAAACTTTAAAAATGATCGTCTGGAACCCTTCTGTCCAGAACGGAGAGAACCGAATTTCTCGAATGGAAAGGGATTGAAAAAGCCTCTTCCGACAGGCTCAGAGCTGTTATTCACTTTATTAAAACCACACGGACAGCGGAAGGGAACGGCTGTTTTCAAACAGACAGTGGATGACGAACTGCAAGCAGCGTATCTTAGTATATGCAAAAGTATGCATGCTGAGGGGAAAGCAAAATATTTGCTCTAAGAAATCAGAACATTCACATTTTCTCCTGGGACATTCATGCTGCAAATTTATCTGCCAGGCTTTAAAAAAGAACTCCTTGAATGACAAATTTTCTTTAAACAATCAGTTTACAAACAATGTAAGACGAAGCAAAATACAACATGAACAGATTTTTTTTTTTTTTTTTCCAAAACCCCGTTTCACATGTTAATGCAACACCATTTAAACAACCCTCGGAATAATTAGAAAAAAAAAAATCAGTGTCTTTTGAGAAATTATTTAAAAGTCAATTCACCTCTGATTTCTAGCTACTAGAAGCAAAACGGGTTGGAATTACGGCAAGAAGAAAACCACCCACATAAAATGCTGTGATCTGAAACTCACTTTAAACATTTCATTAAGGTAAAATTCCTCTTTCTTTTCTATGGGGTTGCACAGCAGCATATCAGGATCGGTGTGTTACAGACCCAAGGACAACTACAGAGCCAGCTCTATTTTTGTAGCATGGGTATTTTTGTTTGGCAAGGAAAAGGCAGTATATATTCCAAATAGTAACGCTTTTGTACTATCACAGGCACTTCGTAGCAGAAATGAGCAGAAAATTCCAAGATTCAGAGAATCATTGCCCGTAATGCTCATCTTATTTGGAAGTTTGCACCGGTCAACAACTAAAAAAGGTTTTATCACAGCTTTTTCAGCTGTAATGTACTCATTACTAGAAATACTAACTGAAATACATCCTGCTTGGCGGGGTTTTTTTTCAGTGTGCTATGTTTAATCTTGGCTGGAATTATTACCTGTAATTTCTAGTTAAGAAAATTTTTTTTCCAAGCCAAAATTTTTTTTGCCACCTTTAAAAGCTTGAGTTCTATTTTAAAGGAAAAATGACACTTGCCTTTAATTACTGAACTACCCTTACACGTACGTATCGCTGAGACAGCGACAGCATTACCAACTAAATAAAGGTGGGATCAGTTTTTCCCATCATGGCAGAACACCTCCAGTGCCTTGAGACCGGAGCTCCGAAACAGGGAGAAGCTTCCAAGACCCCTGTTCAGCTCTGAGTCAGCTAGGGGTGCAGCACGGTTAGAGCAAACCTCAGAGACACCGAATTAGGGCGAAATCCCAGACTTT